AGCAGTTCAGGCTCCCAAACAGGCAGTATTGCTATTTATAACTAAGCCAAGCAGTTGTTATAATAAATTCTTCCACATCCTGGTTATAAAATGCAATACTATTGAATTATTTTTAAGTGCAAATCTGATGTAAATATAACGTATGATGAGAAGGCCAGATTTTCTTTTTTTCCTCTAAAGGAAAATTAGAAGGGTCACTGCTGCTTGTTACTGAGAAAGTACTAAATGCACTTACTTCTTACGAAAATGATAATATTGTATCATCAAACTATGTTTTGCAAAGTTTTTAATTTATTTAAAATTACTTCAGTATTTGCATGCTGAACCACCCTGATGCTCAGAAATAAACATGACTCAATTCTCTTCCTCTAGAAACTCAGCATGGATACAGGACTACATCTGCAGGATTAACCCTCACAGCACTACGGCAGAACTACCTGCATTTGATGGAAAGAAAGTCTTTAAAAGCATCCCTGCTGCTACAGTCAACACTTAAACTTGAGAGGCAAGTAGGATAAAAACAAGGATGCCTTAAGAAATCAAATATTCTTTTTCTTAAAGGTTTCCAACATTAAAGTTTCAGTGGCAACAAACTTAAAAAAGCAATTAGTAATGATACAGAAAATTGGAGAATGGAAATCAAAAGACTAGCAAAAGTTCTGACTTGCAAGGAAGAACCATCTTTACACAAAACACTTTCAAGCCTGAAATAAACACTGAGTTTTTAATCCCTTTTCTGAGAGACATAAGGGGCTGCTGTGAAAAGTTCTGTCTGAGCTATAGAGATTAAATCTGTTACAAGTCTTAAATTTGCATTTGTGACGTATTCACACTAATTTCTCATCTATCAAATGTGCCATCTTACAATATTTTCTTCAAAATCTATGGGCTATTCATATTAAAGTATTTAGATGCCTTCTTTCAGAAGTACCTGGGTATGCAGTACAATCACCTTCAGGTAAGTGATCTGAGTAAATGCCATTGAGAAAATTAAGTTTTCTCAAAGACTAAGATAATTTAAAGGAGAACTTTCTAGTAAAGTTTTAAATAATTAAGTCTTTAAATACATTTTGTCATGATGCTCTTTTATTGCCAAAATTTTATTTCAGCTTCTGAAACGTAGAGCGTATAAGACTGCCTCCCCAATTCCTCACCTTTCTGTTTAAATACACTTTGAACTGCACAAAAATGCCCGTAGTATTTTCTAACAGTCAGAAAAGACTTGAATTTTCTGTCACCGCAGCCCTTTCCTGCTGTATTTACTGGTGCAATACCAAACTATGTTAATTAGCCAAGCTAACTGCATACGCACATGGGTATGAAACTGTGGAAAACTGGAACAAAGAAGCTAGTTTGCATTCAGCTGGGAAGGAGCTGGAATATACAGTCTCTCCTGCGGCCCTTAAAAGCTCCATAACTTCCCTCTAACCCTTGCAGCTCTGCC